ATCATCCTTCACTTGATCCGTTGATCCATCATCGTACCTATATGATATGCATTGATGCAAATGCAAAGATGTAAATAACCAACGACAGCCGAAACGCTTAGAAATCTGATCACGCCTCACAAGCTAACGAAATAGCTCTAACACTGGTCTACGTATCCATGTGGTCGAATAAGGCGTTACTTTCCAACAATTGTTTTAGTTATACAACCCAAGTTGTTTCTTTATTCCATTCTATCCATTTAATCTTTATTCGTAATAGGACATCATTATTTATTTAGCAAACTAATTATTCCGGAGCTATAAAAATTACAGTGAGTACCTAATATTGCTAGGAGCCTACTGTAAAAATTTCAGATCCAACACTATTACCAATTTATCACAACAATTCCTACAAGTTTATATTTTTATAATATTAAGTACCTTAAATCAATTATATATCTTCCAAGAATATTATCAAACTATGTGAATAAAATATACTAACAGGTAGATCATGATTTTAGGAGACTAACAAAATTGGTTTCATAATTTTTGGACTCCTAAATGATTTTATATTTAAATAACAAAATTCGCTCAGAATTTATATTAGGAAACCGACTCTAATTCACTGGAAAACATAAAAGAAGTACCGCGGCCCACGACCGACGAACCAGCCTGGCTCGAAGGCGCACGCGCGGCCCAGGCGTTTGGCACCAGTCGGCCTAGGCGGGGCGGCACAGGACTAGCCCAGCGCGGCACATCGGTCCAGTGGACGCGCGGCCCAGGCACTCACAGCAGACCGGACAACGAGCGGCGCACGCCCCAGGCGGGGCGCCGGGAAGGCGGGCCCAGCGCGCGGCGAGGGCGGCCTAGGTGCGGTGGCCACAGGCTGGCCCAGCGCGCGGGCGCAAGCGGCCCAACAAGCCGGCCCACGCGCTGCCTGCCCAACAGGCCTGGCGATTATGCAGCAATGACCCTGCGCTTCTCCTTATTTAGTACGCTGCTGTTCATATGGGTCACGTAATTAGCAATAAGAACCCTGGAATTACTCAATCCTTACCCCGAGGTCCCTCCTTTCATCTTCAAAATAGAGCACTAACGGGGAATGATCAGCCGGCGGTCAATCCCGGCCGAAGAAGGCACGGCGGTGGCGGGAACTCGCCGATGAGGGGCATGAGAGCCCGCGCGACCACGCTTGGCCGCGGCAAGACCCGAGTCGGTCCCCAGCTGTCCGCCCACGCGAGCCGTGGTGGCAGGCACGGCGGCTGTGGTGGCGCCGGCCGGGCACGCCGCGGCAACGGTGCTGGGAGCCGGTTGGAGGCGAAGGAGACACCTGAGAATGACGACACCGTGGAGCAGCAGGCCTCGCACGGTCGAGGGGCTCGCGCTCGCAGGAAGACCGACGGCGGCGGGTGCGGACAACAGAGACGCGGCGCAAGGAGGAAGAAAGAGAGGCGTCGGTGCACGCGGACAGGCGGTGTCGGCAGCGAGGGAGAGACGCGGCGGCATCAGCAACAGGGACGGGGCGGCGCGGCCACGAACGACGGAGCACCGGCACGGTCGCGACGCGCAGACAGCGGAGGCGGCGCACAGAAGGGGCAACACTGTGGAGGTTCGCGCGTGCAGGAGGTGGGAGCAGCAGGGTGCAACGGTGGCTTCCACGGCCCGGTGATGGCCACGGTGATGGGAAAAGGAGTGGGTTCGGTGCTGCACGCAGAGGAGAGGAGGCAAGGCAGAGCAGGAGTCACGCGCGGGGGGCGTTGGCGCCTAGGAGAGGTAGGGCTGGGGTCCAGCGTGGCCATGGGGGCTCGCGCGTGTGCTCGCGAGGGCCGGCGATAGACGGGAGCGAGGCGGGGTGCTGTGGCCGTCCCGGAAGAGAAGCGGCGCGGGGCAACGTGGGCCCAGGCACGCGCTCGCGCGAGAGAGAAGGGATGAGCCGACGCTGGGCAAGCAGAGGAAGGTGAGGGAAACAAGGAGCGACTGAGGGACAACAGCTGGGGTCAGCAACAGAAATAGAAAAGGAAGGGGACAGCAGCACAAGGATTGGCCAACTTCCACTATGCATGGACCGCGCGGCGTGCTCCGGCAATGTTGCAGCGCGACGGGACGATGCGAGCAGCAGACAAGCAAGGCAGTACACAGCAGCAGCAGAGAGAGGCAAGGCAAGGACGAGCAGAGGACGTGATGGTGCTGCAGGGTTGAAGCGACTGAACTGGCATTGAGACAGAGAAAGACAGTCGCGCAGACAACAGACGCGTCGAGGGTTTGGCCAACTTTCATTAACGCAGGGACAACACGGATTGGCACAACGTGGCCGGCAAGGCAACCCGATTAACCTCCACCAATAATTATTTTACGCAAAAGTTCCTGCTTCGCACTAACCTACAGAGACAAAATATTTAAGCACTATGTAATATAGTTCGCCACAACTGGCAGTTTGACAAAGGCAGTGCATAGATAATGAAGAGTCAGACAAATGGAGGCAGCATCAGCAAGCGCGGCCATGGTCGGAAGGACGAGAGCGGGGCCGACGAGGAAGCAAGCGCACGTGGGCGGCCGGCCAAGGCGTGCGCAGAGCGAGAGCACCACGCCAAGGTCACTAGTTCGACGGAACAACGGAGGCAGGCCAGGATGAGACCGCGCAAGGTAGGCAAAGAGACAAGACAAGAGGCATTGAAAAGCAGGCGCACGAGATAGAGCGGGGAAAAGAAAAAGGACCTGCTGCAGCCTGAATGCTCGGTGCGACTGCCGCTCACCTAAAAACATCGGACGCGGTAGCTCATACTTGTACCAAGCCATGGAACAAAACATTAAAGCGTTATGTGATTATTTTACGCAAAACAATTCGCCACAAACAACGTTTTAAAATATACTTTCTGATTTTTACCATTGAGGCGAAAAGCTGGTTTTTAAATTTTAAAATCTGAAAAATCATCTCGGTAATTTTTCTTAGGTCTAAATCGTGGTGCTAAACAAGATCGTAATACCAGAGGTGTTACAACAACGCAGGACTTACAGTACAACCATGAGGACCACATGACTCTGGTCTTAGTCCAGTACCTTGTTCTTTCTAGTTTGTAGCAGTTTACCGAAAGGGCAAGAGGGGCATACCAGGCTGGGTACGGACCTAATCCCCAGGGTGTGTACTATGCTGCGTGTATCAGTGCCACTTTTGGAGATGACTCCATAACACTTGGGAGATAGAATCCTTAGCGGCTGCTCCTTATTAGAACGACTTGGGAAAAGCTTCGTAGTGTACCTTGCCTGCTCACTTTGGAAGTGTTTTGGGAGTAATTAACCCGAGCATATGGGTAACACGACTCATGGTGAAAGTACACAACCTCTACAGAGTGTAAAACTGGTATATCAGCCGTGATCACGGTCACAAACGACCTGGATCCTTACTGAATAGTTGGTTACTTGGATGGTTTGGGTTATAGTTAAAATTGCTGATATCTCTAACTATTCATATTTAGGAGCCTAAACATAACTTAGCAACTTAAGATTAATAATAAAATATGACCAACTAAAAGTATTTATCGCAGTTCAGCCGTGTCAAGCCTTTTGAGCTTGCATCCCCTCATGTTATGCTTGCTAAGCGGTAGTAGCTTACGCTTGTTTTATTTCAATACTTTGGCAAAATCCCGGATAGGTACCAGATGAAGGTTCTTCAGTAGAGTTATCCAAGAGGTGTTAGGCTTGTGATCAAGTAGTTGATGATTCCTGTGATGTTAGAGGCTTCGCTAGAAGATTAAAGTTATAGTATATATTGTAATGTGAAACTATGTCTTTTATATCAAATATTTATGCGCTATGTAATAAATGCATTGTCTTTGATATTACCCCTTCATTTGTAACTATATGTGTAAATTAAATTCCTGGATATACATATAGTATGTATCTGGTTTTATCCTTAAAACTAGGTGCTACAATATCTGGCAAAAGCATAAGGAAAAAGAAGCCCAGCGTCTTAAGACTAAAGCCTCCTTTGGCACGGCTCATCCAAAACGGCTTCACCGATAAAGCCAAAGTCGGTGAAGCCAGAAAAACTGGATTTTCCCGGTTTCTAGTTCATTTTAACCCCGGCTTATAAAACGGCTTCACGCTACAGTGTCTCGATTTACGCAAAATAGATAAAGCCGAAGCCAGCATAAGCCGTGCTAAAAAGCCCTAAAGCAGAGGCTACGTCTTCGGATGGCTGCCTTCACCAGTTCTTTAGGCCGTCCTGCAGCTTCAGGATAATGTCCTCCATATCAGTCCACTCCTTTAGCTTCATCATCTTCTTCCGCTGTGTCAAAAATCCCACAATTTTGTAAGCAATCACCTTTGGAGAGTTTGTCAGAACATTGTTAAACATCCAATCGTATCTAATCTTCCAAAGACTCCACACAACACTAGCCATAATGTAAAAAAGGACTATTATCTCCAAGGGAACCCAACCCAATGCCCATCAGATCTTGATAGTGGGAGACAACCCTTGTGGAAGTCATAAAATAAGGCCATTAAATCCCTTTTAAGCACATTCCAAAAGACTTGATAAAACTCGGCTGAAAATCTCTCTGGACCAGAGCTGAGTTATGGTTCATTTAGAATATAGGACCCCTCTTTCAGACACTGAAAAATGAGTTATACTATGATGTATTGTAGGTGTTCATTCAGAACTTCCAGCATACGTATACAGGTTACAGATAATAAATCGTCAATGGATTTTGATCGCATGAAACTTACTGTGTATACCCTACTGATGGTGTTAAAAAGGCCTAAAGCCAGTCAATCGAGATTTTGTACAACAACTTTTGTTTTTGAAAAAAAAAAGTGGAGTGAAATGGGCCGGCCCACTAGAACAAGCCCAGGTCCACTGGATCGCTTTGACTTGCGTAGGACCCTCCCGACTCCTGCCTCCTGGGGCTTCCGCAACCGCCGCGTCGTGCCGTCGCTGCCCTGCTGCCCAAGCCTCCGGAGGTTCTAGTTCTACTAGCGGAGCCGGCTCACTCTCGCGACACCGCCGCGGCCTCCAGCCGTTTATGGACGGCGAGGAGGCGCCCCTGGGCGCGCTCAACCTGGCCGAGTACGCCCCCGCCGGCGCCCGCACCGTCGACTGCTACAGGCGCATCCGCAAGATCGGCGAGGGCACCTACGGGTAAGCGAGCTGAACCGAAACCCCCTCGGCGGCACGCACGCTGGCCGGGCTAGAATTTCCCTTGCATTTTGGTCTGTTCCGCCTGAATCGTTCGCCGCGCGCTGCAATTGCAGTAGATGTTGAGTGGCCGTGGGATGGGATCGTACGGCCGGCGGCGGAGTGATGATGATCCGTTTGGTCCGTGGTTGCACGATTCATGGCGTACTTGGAGGCAATTGTCGGCGGAGACTTTGTGTAGGCCATCGCTTGTTGGTGGAGCAACTGTGCTTTTGTTGTTTCGTCCTAGATGCCATCAGTTGTTGGGCATCATTAAAGCTTTACTCAATTAGTTTGTTGCTTAGGGTTCCTTCGGTAGTGTTGGATAATATAGGTAGGTATTTCTGTCAGAATGCCTGAATTGTTAGGCAGGCGTATACAGTTCTGATGTATAGCAACCATGGAAACTTTATCTATGTATATAATGCAGCTAGGTAATGTCCTTTTATTTTAATCTGATGAAAGGGGGAAAATCCCATAACATCTGGTACTAACCTGATTATATGCATTTTACCAGGAATTTCACTTATTTATGCTTACAACTTTGCTCTGTTGCGTCAGCTTTCATCTTTTTGGACATCGTGAGTCCTAACAGTGCTGTTCGTCCTAGATGACGTCATTTATTGGGCATCCTGAAAGCTATAATCATTTAGTTAGTTGCTTAGGGTTCCTTCGTTAGTGTTGGACAATATAGGTAGGTATGTCTGTCAGAATGCTTGAAGTGTTAGGCCTGCATATGCATTAAGTTCTGATGTATAGCAATCATGAAAACTTTATCTATGTATATACTGCAGCTAGTTAATGTCCTTTTATTTTAATCTGATGAAAGGGAGAATATCCCATAACATCTGGTATTAACCTGATTATATGCATTTTACCAGGAATTTCACTTATTTATGCTTACAACATTGCTCTGTTGCGTCAGCTTTTATCTTTTTGGACATCCTGAGTCCTAATAGTGCCGTTTTCTCTAGTACGATTTTCCCATGATAAGCTTTTATCTGTAGAAATCATATTTCTGGAATTCATATCTCGATATGTTGGGGCACATTAGGTCAGCAGAAAGATTTTCACCAAGTAGATAATCTGATAATCAAGATATGTTGTCACATTCCCCTGTTCAGCCAATTCTTTTCTAGAAAACAGCTTATGATGATGGGTTGGAGACACTAGAGCCCTATCTTATGAGATCTAGCTTCCATGCAACTCCACGCGGATAGCTCAGTATAGAATTTTGTGTGTATATTAGAAAAATGATGTTTTATGTGTTTCAGCAGTAGTTCAGGTTAAGTATCAGGCACCAGTATGTTCTTACGTTTTCGATTCTCCCCCTTCACTTGGCCATTCGTTCGCTTTTTACTGGAACTAGAGTCAAATCCAGAGCTTGCTCCCTTTGTCCAAAAGAAAGAAATTTTCACTTTTAAAAGTATATATCATTGTTTATATCCTATAATTTATAGCCTTGAACCTCTTTATCCTGGAAATATATTTTAAGCATATGCACTGAAAATGTAAGGTTTTGCAAGATATTATTTTGCTTTCAGTTGGTAACTTAGTATTTGAATCTTGCGTTTTTCTTTTCTTTCTGTTTTGACTATTGTAAAATACTCCCTCTGAGAGGGTCTGATACTCTGATTGTATTCAGTGGAACGTAAATAAATAGTGCCTACCTTTTATTCTGTATCTAAAATGGTTAATAGGGTCAAGTACTTCCGTTGCAAATTTGATTATGTACTGTGCAACACGCAAGGTGTATGAAGATGCAAAAGATCAAATCTCTTGAGAATTTTTTTTTTTTTGCATTCTTGTAGAATCAATAGAGCCATTAGTAGTCTTCCGCACTGACAATAATTTATAGTCCTTTCTGAACCCCTACTTTTACTGAATCAGGTGGACTATAATGGTCTTCCATTATGTCTTAAGATCTTTGAAATAACCTGCTAAACAAGGCTCTTTGAAATAACAACGGTTAAATTTTCAGTCTTGATGTTCTTTCTTGTCCTTAGGATTATTTCATGATAAGAAAATGGAATAAAGGAGATCTCCTGCCATATTTTCATTAGTTTTATTTGATCTGCCAGGGCATTTTACTACTACACGAATATCTATGGTCTATCTAACCGCCTAATTTGTCACTGTCATGTCTTTTCCTACAAATCTCAGCGAGGTATTTGAAGCTGTGGATATTATTACTGGGGAAAGAGCAGCACTTAAGAAAATAAAACTGGATGATGGCAAAGAAGGGGTAAGCTTTATGATCTCAACAAAGTTAATAAGACTCAAGCACATTGTTTTGTGCGCGTTATAGACCCCTCTGAACTATTCAGTACCTCTGTAGTTTCCACGCCAAATCTTGCGTGAGATTAAACTATTAAAAAAGCTGGATCATGAGAACATCATCAGATTGAAAGAGATTGTAGTATCTCCTGGTAACAAATGTTCATCTAGTCATTTCTAGATATATAATAGAGTGCATTAGTATAATGACATTGCTTAACCATTTATTTAAATTTTTTCTCAGGTTCTGCACATGGAACAGGCGGATCAGGTATAGTATCACTCAGTTCTCTTTTGTTTTATTGCTTATATTCTTTATTAATGTAGCTCATGCTGATGGATTTAATATTTTCCCTGTTAATTGATTTTTACCTGCATATAATTTTATCCTGTGGACTGTGCAGATGATCACATCTATAGGGGAGATATCTACATGGTGTTTGAATACATGGACCATGATTTGAAGAAAGTATTGCACCATAGTACCCCATCCCAAGTCAAGGTACTCAAGTGTACTCCTTCCATCCATAAATCTTGCGCACATTTCTCTTCACATTTTTTCTAGCAATCTAAGGCATGGTTTGCTTCCCTATGCATGTTTTTTGTTGTTTTTTGTCAGTAGTGCCTTTGTTAACTCTAAGTTTTCTGCATGTTATTAGCAATGTTGGTTGCTGTGTTAGCCACTAGTAATCACATATGAATGTATGATGCTGCTTCATGGTCCATTTTCTAGGGGTGGAGCCAGTATTTGGGCATCACGGGGGTCATATCATATCACATATACTTATACTGATTTTGGCTAGAACATAGATAATAACAAGCAAATGAGTGCATGTTTTTCACTTTTGCAATACAAAGAAAGTTATCTGTCCTAAATAGCTCAAAACATAGCAGAACATAACAAGATAGCATATGTCACATTAGGATGTTCAGCAGCATGGGAGCTTGAAACAGTTAATTCAGTAGCTTGATCATTTGTCACCTTATGATTTTCAGCAGAATGGGGGCTTGAAACAACTGGCTTATAAAGCTACAAATGGTCTTCAACCTCCTGTTCATCTTGGCTAAACAATGAATCAAGTGATCAACTAAAGACAATAAAAATAATTCTAAATTAAAGAGAAAAAAGGGATATATATAATTGAGTTAGCCCTAGCCCCACCCGACTATTAATCTAATTATAAAGCATGTTGCAATTGGAAACTAAATTCATATGAAGGGAGTGTGAAGCATACCTTCTGGAGTACTCCTACATGAATTCACAGCCCTAGTGCTGCATTCCACTGCACACTGCAACACACGCTGCCCTGGCGAGTGGGAGCGAGGCACGTGAGTGGGGCCGCAGGGAGTGAGTCAAGAAAGGAGAGGAAGTTGAAGTGTCGCAGTCAAACAAAGTGGTGTGGAACAGCACAAATAGTTCTGCCTGGCTTGGTTGGGCTTATTCTCAATCCTCCATGGATGCGCCACAAATGTCAAGAAAACAGTAATAACATCATTGGAAACAAAGATTGATGTACCTATTGGCGACTTAGATGTCATCCCTAGTATCCATGGACAAGGGTGAAAACAAGAAGCAGCCATTGGCTTTGGTGAGATGTCGTCCCAGACTCCATGGAATCTGAGATGACTAAGATGAAGCCCTCATGAGCAATGGCGAGGTCGTCCCTGATTGCATGGACAGTGGTGAAGGCTGCAGAGCTCATGGGCTTATGCTGATGCACCAGTACCAGTGACCTCTATATTTGTTATTTTGTTCTCATCCATGCATAAGTGGCAGGAATCTAATTTCTCATCCAAAACGGCATTGTGTGGCCTCTAATTTTCCATTCAAATTTTCATTATGTGCCAGTTGGCTTCAAATTTTCAGAAAAAAAAAACTTTTGGGGCAGGGCATAGCCTAGCTTGAGTTACCAGATCCCTTTTAGATGCCTTGACGTATTGTTATGTGTCTGTGCACTAAACATGCATGCAAGTGCCCATAAATTGATTAGGCGGTGGCATGCCATGAAATAATGCATTTTACTCAAGGACTTGGGGAAATAAGTCATTTTGAGTGAATCCTTGATTTAGGCGCTGAAGAGAAACATACCCAAGAATTACTGAAAAAATTATGGATTAACAGTGAGATATGTCATTAATCATTAGTGTGTTCCTTCAAATAACCAATTATTGATGCAAATTTTCATTTCTTCAGGTTTATATGGGGCAGCTGCTAAAAGGATTGCAGTACTGCCATGTCAACAATGTACTTCATCGGGATATCAAAGGTTTTCGCTTTTTTAGATTTAACATGAAATTTTGCATCTCTGGTCATTTGTACCTTCGACCCCATTTTCTCTGACTATGTTTGGATCTCATATTTGCCTGTTTATTGAATTGTTTGTAGGGGCTAATCTTCTAATAACTGGTGGTAAGTTGTTAAAACTCGCAGATTTTGGCCTTGCAAGGCTGTTCACTAGAGATGGAACTTTAACAAATCATGTCATCACTTTATGGTACCGGTAAGTGGAATGGGGAAAAGAACATCATAACACATTTGTTTGGGCCAAAACCTTTTTACCCCCTTATACTAACACAACTTTTTCCATGAATATGTGCTGATGTGGACATCATTACAAACTGTTCATAGACCCCCTGAGTTGCTTCTTGGTGCCACAAGTTATGCTGAACCTGTGGATATTTGGTCTGTTGGTTGCATATTTGCGGAATTTTTACTCAAGAAACCATTATTTCCTGGCAGATCCGAGGTGTGATGCTTATACTTCTCTCCTTTGTGCTCTTGCTCCTGGTGCTATTTTTCCTATAATAAGTGAATTATTATTTACATGAAATTTGGTTCTGTGAACATTGAACATGATGAGTTTTTGTGTTGTAAACGAGGAATATCACGTGGGATTAGATTGTTTGATTGCCAAGTACAGGATACATGTGTATCAACCACAGGGTGTGCCAGAGCTAGAGGCTGCAGTAACCCTAGGTGCATGGGCCTTAGGCCAACCATGGCATAGACCTAACCAGCCCACTAACAGCCTGTCTAACAGGCATGACGCACAAATACAGCAATTTGTGCGTATTTATCTATTTTATTACTGTTATATGATCCCTGTCTTTCCTACTTTGTTCTATTATGCATTTTCTGTTACGCTGATATTTTGTTAGATGTACATATCTATGCTGTATATTTTCCCACTATTGTAAGGGGTTTAGTGCATATTGTACAGAACCTTGTCTTCCCCTTTGGGGACTGCAATACAATGTGAGTTTGCATTTCCGAACATGGTAACAAATTGTGATGCTCATACTTGCACCATTAAAGACACACTCATTCCTGTGCTTCCAAATCTCCCAGGCCACCAGGGTAATGAGTGAATTAAGCCCTTTTTTCATCTCCTTAGGCACATCCTTGATTGCCTGGTACCACCAACTTGAAAATTTGCTAGTAGAAACCGGACTGATGGAGCTCAACCCAATCTCTGAAGAATAATAAACCAGACCTATCTAGCAAAGACGCAAGAGATCAACAAATGCTGGGTGGACTCTCCTGCCTGATCACAAAGAAGGCTGCTGGATGAGGGAGTCCTTTTTTTGCTAGACGATCACCAGTCCAGCATCTATTGTTGGTTGCAGGCCAAATGAAGAACTTGCAATGTTGAGGAGCCCAGCTCTTCCAAATCTTTTCCATGGAGCAAAGCGAATGGAGCCAAGAAAGTAAGCATTATAGGCTGATTTGCTAGAATAAATACCAGACCTGGTGAGCTTCCATTGGTGCTGATCTTCAACCCCCTCTCGCAGCAACATATTATGAACCAAATCCCATAGCAAGAGGTACTCTCTCAGGACCAGGACAAAGAGTCAGAGAGTGTACCTTTAATATCTGAGACCCTATGGCAGGTCTTCAAAGCCTCATGCAACCGTGTGCTGTTTTATGACTCTCTTAGGGATTGTTTTGAAAAAGATTAGGTGCCAGCTGCCCAGCTCAGAAACTGTATTTCCTCGCAGCCACCTATTGGACCAGAACAGGATGCTTTCCCCATTACCAACTATCCGCAACCTTGAAAAGAGCCTGAGCATTTTTGAGGGATTTGAATAGGTAATCCTGCCCAAGGTGAGAACCGTCTGTCTTGTCAAGCCAAAGCCACCTAATGCGGAGAGGCCATCCTAAATACTCCAGATCATGAATACCAAGCCCTCCATATTGTAGTGGCATTTTGACTCGATTCCAGGAAACCAGACAGTTTCCACCATTCGCTTTTTCTTGAACAAGTCAATTTTCTCTTGATTAATCAAGTCCATAGATGCATCTATTCATCTCTTATGACAAGATTATTTCCATCAAATAGCACATCTTTGAAAGAGGGATTTTATTTCTTTAGACCATCAGAGTTCAGTACTTTTTTTAAGACCACCTTTAGGCAAATGTGGATGTTAGTAACTTAGTATTATGGTTTCATGTGTTATATTTTACTGTCAGTTAGGATCTTGAACTTATTGAATTGATCTGTTGTATTTTTCTTACTTTTCCCAGTTTGTCCATTGATTTCTGTTTGTGTTGGATATCCTAGTAATAAAACACACTAATTGCTATTTTCATGTTTTCACTTATAGTCAGCTCCTATAACTCTTTACTCATGAGCATGGCAACACCTTTCTTTACAATATTTCCTCGAATATGGATGAGTAGTTTCAGGTTATTGACATCATTCAACTTTTCTTATTTTGTTATGTTTATGCTTGAAACCTTGACAGAAGCTTGTGTTTTGTTTTAGCAAGAGCAGTTATCAAAAATATTTGAACTCTGTGGATCTCCAAACGAGGAAAACTGGCCAGGTGTTTCCAAGCTACCATTGTATAAGACTATGACTGTCCATCCTGCGACTCCTACCAAACAAAGCCTGAGAGATATGTTGCAGAAGTAATCCACTGACTGTATTTCTTACGTGTAGGTATTTAGTGTGATCACTATTTTTTTTTTTTTATGTTTGAATTTAATATATCAAAAAATTCTTTTCAGCTTTGACTGTCATGCTGTTGAATTAATTGAACGAATGTTGATCCTTAATCCTTCACAGGTATGTTGCTCTTATGTTTCACACATCTATCTTTCAACATTTGCTTTGTTATCTGAGATTCAATATCAGGCATGCTGACTAATGCAAACTCCATATCAGCATATTCATGACTACTAGTGTTTTTTTAGGTGGGTCAATGGACCTGCTATACGCATCTCAACTATTTGAAAAATGCTGGAAATGGTCTAATAATCGGTGTGTCTTTGTTTGCAGAGGATTTCTGCACAAGATGCTCTTGGTGCGGCATACTTCATCAACTAAACTCATATGGGGGGAAAGAAGTATAAATTCGCTGTTCTCTGCGACTAAGTTTTGTTTACCTTGTCAGAATGGGTATGGGGATCTCATTGGTGTAAGTACTACCTGAAGACTGAAGTCTTGTTTCTCCTGCTGACATTGGATTAGGACTAGCAAGCAGTTTAACTTTGTCTGTTCTAGCTTTAAATATAATATATATAGTAGATGTATTGTACATTAACTCATGGCAAACTGTATGTGATTATTAGTTAATAATAACAAGTACTGATTCTTGGTATATTTTCATATGACACAGTGTTTCATCACCCTGTTCGCTTGATCGTATCAGCCATGAGCCATGATACAGTGTTTTTCTCTCACAACGAAACAACATCAGCCGGCTTATATCTGCCTCCAAACTGTCTAACCTAATTCAAATCAGTCCCAGCATGCTAGTTGCTTCAACAGCTAAGGCATAAATGAAGAATCAATTGATCATATATGATTTCTGCACAATGCCACTGTTAGTAATCAAGTAAACACGACCAGTTAATTAAATGATATGCATTCAGATTGTTGGCCTCAGTCTCTTGTATGCTTAGCATACAATGAATAGCTATGATCTATACGTGTATATCTGCAGTAACCAATGGCTGTCTGAAAGCACAGGACATATTTTTACCCTCCCATTTGGTTAACAAAAACTGTTTCTAACTACCCTCTGCTTTATACTATGTACATTTACATATTGTGAAGAGGATCAGTTTGCTTCTATGCAAAATTTGTGAATTTTTTTTCTGTATCTTCTAGTACTAAAGAAATCAGGACTAATTCTTTTTTTCCATCAAAAGTACTCCTTGTGGAAATCAAAGCGGGTTCCCGTTTTGTGGCTCATGTCAAGTGACAGTTTCTTCAGTTCTTTGGCAAGTGTAGGTCTCCCACAGTAAAATACCCCTGCATGCATAATAAACTCATGATCAGAATGACGAACACTTGATCGATGCTCAATAGTTTTTTTCATGCCTTTCAGTGTGCTGAGAAAAAAAATGAATACATTGGGGGCAAAATATTACCGACTGTAGAATTTGGGTGCTTGGACGCTATTCTTGTAAATACTTCTTTCCAGTTAGGTCTTGCAAAATGTGTCCTGACCTGAAACATGAACACAATTAATATATTCAAAAGCAATCATGATCATCAACATTCCCGAGATTATTATTCAGCGAATTCATGATACTTTGTTTACTGAACCAAAGTGTGTTTACCCTTGTGCCTGACACTATGTCTACGCCATGCTTGGCGTGGTTCAGGGCCTGCACCATCGACAGCAGGGTCGTCCTTGCATCTCGCTCCTCATACACGCTCGTCAGATAGTTGTGCAGCTCAATGACACCCTGGTTAAACCATCAGGAAGACAGGAACCCCATCGTCATGAGTACATTAACAACATCTGCAAGGAAAACAGCACACAGAAAGGCAGAGACATCACCTTCATGTCCATTTCAGCGACCTCATTCATCACCCCCTTGAACCACTCGAATGATCCAGGCTCCCTTGTGACCCAGTAGAAGTGTGCGCAGCTTGTTCGGTATGCCCGCCTCTTGTTGCTGCTGCTCGCCGTTGACGCGCTCAAGCTGTTGGCGCTGTCCTCGGACCGGCTGGTCTCCATTGCCAGGTCCTGAAAGGTTCAGACAAAGTGACCGTCAGTGTCAGGCAAGCAAGAACTGAGTCACAGAAAGCTGAAGAATGGATGCTACAATGAGTCGATACCATCAGCTCGTCAGCCAGCTTGATGTTGTTCAGAAGATCTCTCAGGATGCTGATGAAAGGCGTTGCGCCGATCCCAAGGCCGACAAGGAGCAGCACGTCATAGTTCCTGAAATCCTGCGCTGGGGCGCCGTAGGGGCCATCGACCAGCAACCTTGGCGGACTGCATCAGAGCCCAGAGGAGGCAAGGCATTGCTCAGTTTTCATATTGATCAGGCAGCTCTCAAACAGGGGAGCAGACATGGCGTGGAGAATGCATGCATGGAAGAACCTCTTGTGCTCCACCGCGCCTAGCTCCCCGAAGGCAGCCCTTCGGGGCACGCATGGCGTGAAATAGTTCTCGACGAAGATTCGCTTGAGTTCTTGTGTCCAGTCACCCCTGGTCTGGATGTGGACGCTGATGTAGTCGTCTCCAGGAGCTGAAGTGATGGAGAACGGATGCCTGCCATGCGAAGAAGCAGTATCAGAGATGAGTGTAACAAAAAGAAGCAAGGGTGATCGATCGAACAAGTAGACAAATGAAGAGTCAGGCATACCACTCAAATGGGGAGATCGTTGGACACTGGAGGAATATGTACTGCCCACTTCTGTAGCGGAATCCGTAGGGTTTCGACATGGTTATGGTCAAGACGTTCCCCGGTAGAAGGCACACCTGAGTGAACCAGATTGCAGTAAGAGCATGCATATACTTTTCATCTCTTCCTACTTCCAACCATCAGGTATTTGTATCTTGCTTATGACAAGCTAATTCATTTTTTTCCAAACTAATTAGCTTATCCTAAACATCATATATTTTCTCTCTTTTCTTAAGGAAGAAAAGGAGCAGCAGAAAACCCCAAGCCATTTTCTTTGTTTAGATCATTCTTTTTGTGAGCATCTAGTTTGGTCTTGAAATTGTGGGACTACTGACATGAAGTGACCTACTAGCTAGTGATGGGCAGTTGTTGTAAATGAGACAAGTGTTCAATTAAGCCTACATGACCCTATTACGTATCCTAGTGCCAACGTGACCTAGCACCATATCCTCATCATACTGGCCACATGCCAGAATCCTTTTATATGACTCTGAAACCATCCATTCTCCCAACGGCAACGATGCTTTCGACAGTTTGCAAGAACAAAGACACAATTGACCCAGACCAAGCCATACGCCCGTTTGTCTTTTCGACCAACTGACGATGATGATATAATGTGATAGTTTGTTGTCACTTGTCAGCGAGGGTGCCAAGTGCCAACTGATGCTAGCCATCCAGATTATGAGACATATATATGCAGGGGACAGAGGCTAGATTATGATACGCTACGCCTGGGTGATAACTGCTCTCAAAACTTCAGATAATGAGATGTTTAGATGTGGTCTAGGATGTTAAGTTACCTTGAGAATCTTGACTGCGTAAGCCTTGGATCGGAAGGCCCGTAGTGTCCGTTCCCCGACGTAAAGCACCAGGGTACAGAAATGTACATCCATGTCTGCATCACCGAAGAGATCACACTGTCAGCATCAAGTTTTTGTCTGCTCCGTTATTAAAAAGAGAATGAAGAGGTTAGATGCAGACAACTCAAAACACTTGGAGAATGTATCAACATAGCATCAGGTTTTCTGATTCTCGTCGACAGGCCAAGTGAAGATCATCTTACTTAAACTGCATGCAGATAGAAACATGGCTGCAAAAAAAGGCTGCAGCAGGTAGCAGTGCTTACACTTACAGTACTAACGTTTTATATTCTAGTACAACATTGTTTCAGGCTCCAAGTTAAATACAAATTAATCTGAACTGCACCAACCAACACATATCCAACCACTGTTGGCAGCTGTCAGATTCCCTTGTGCACAGCATAGGAATGCCCATTCAAGTGTCTTGCAATGTGCTAAAAAATGGCAGTTGTATAGCGGTGAGTGCAAAAGTTTGTATTCTTGCGCATTTCGGGTCCAAGGAACAGTTTTTTGAATTAATTGCTTGCAGATGCCACATCCGTGACACCTTTACAACGAAGCCCGCCACCGCAACATGTGGCAATACGAAAACAAATAAGAATTCATCAGAAATTTGCAAAGGACCTGAAACAGGTGTTTACAAAATAGAGGCTGCTGCTCTCCAACAGTGGTCCTGAAAAGGAGGTTTATTTATCACAAACGGATTAGGCTTGGCGCTAAAAGGGTCCCAAACTCCCAAGGGGCCAAGGGGGTGTCGTGTGTCTTGTGAGCCTGTCCCTGTGGTGATGTGGATTCGATCCCCATCCGGCCAGTTGCTGAGACGTGTACGCATGAAACGACATGGCAACGCTCTCGCTGCTCTGGGCTGGGACTGGGACTGGGACTGATCCAGAGCTGGCTGCTGGCGACATGGATCTTTTCCTGTCATGGTATTATTCATTCATGGGAGAGAAGTTCGTACGGTACGGGTGCAGGCGGCCATGACTACGAACACGAGATAGCTTACGGCTAAAGCCTTTAAGCTGCCCGTGTCCACTGATGCGAACGTGCTTGATTGACAGGTACGCTTTGTTAATGCTATGCAGATACGCTTGGGGTTCCGTCTTGTCTTGACCTCAACGGACCACCAACCGGCACTGCCTGATGATGCCTGTGACCTGACCTGACCCCTCCCAACATGCATGATCAGCGATTGATCGAGCATGGCTACTAGCGATCCAAACATGTTGCCTCCTCATTTCTGCAAGAGCGTTTGGCTACTAGCATGCGTACATGCATGCGTGGCTGCAATAATCCAGGACGCCTATGACTTACTAAAGTTTTGGCCAGCTCTGCAAAGCTTATCAAACTGTCCCTCCCGTATATGTAAGGTTGGCCCCGTTTGGCTTGCTGAAACTTAGTTGAATTGGCTGAAAACACTGTTCTGACTGAATTAATGTGAGAGAAAAACAATGTTCCGTCTGAAAAAACAAGCTAAATAGTACGGATTATAAGGTAAGCTGAACTGGGCCTCTCAAACAACGCGAGGTGGTGGCCTACCTTAATTTCTCCATCTCCAATTAATGTCCCAGACCCTACGTACTCCATTACTGTGCAAAATAGGTATGCTGCATGCATGCCTTGTGACAGTACGCCGCCTACGATCTTTCTGAACTCTGGCTTAGCTCGACTGGCCAGTCCTTAGCTTCAGCTACATTTTATATTTCCTTCTTATCTAAAAAAAACATTTTATATTTCCTTGTCCGTGGTGGCCAGTGCCCATCAAGTCATCAACATAATAACAGCCGCGAAGGCGACGGATGGAAACGGATCAAAGCCAAAGAATCGTAGCGATCGACAGAAAAGTGTGCACGTCTATCATAGAGCTTTCCACGATGCAAAGGACCGAATCAGGACCAAAATGTGAGCCTGTAACGATCGAGAGAGCTACTATATATATACGGTATATGTGCAGCAAGCTAGAATATTAAACACACTGATGAATAACCACTGCTAGCTGCTCATGTATTAGGATAGATTGAGCAGCGAGTGATATAGTTACGTACCGTCCTCTGGTACCACTTGTCGACGAGGAACATGAACCAGCCGTGGACGATCAGCAGGAGGTAGACGACGATGAGCAGGTGGTGCGAGTACCAGAAGGCGTTGAAGCCGGCGAGGTGGGCGAGCGGGAAGAAAGGGAGCTGCCGCCACCATCGGCCGCCGCCGGCGCCCCTGCTGGCTGCCTTGGCCTCCTCCCGCTTCCGGAATGGGCGCGTGGCGAGGGTGAAGGAGACGGCCATGAGCGTGACCATGACGATCCCCGTGACGCCCTCGGCGCCGGCGAGGAGGCCCCGGTAGCTGGGCTTGTCCCGCCCGAAGAAGCGCGCCACCAGCCGGTACTCGTCCGGCTCCGACGCGATCAGCCGAGGGAAGTCGCACGCCAGGTGGTTCCCCGCGTGCAGGCAGATGCCCACCGCGATAGCCAAAGCGATGATCTGCGCCATGCCATTGCATTGCATTTGCATGCATGCCATCATATATATGCTATGCATGGGTAATTCATATTGATTGATTGATTAATTCATCATCACAATTAATCAAAAGCACTAAAACCATCTTAATACAACTTTTGAATTCAAAAAAAAAATCGTAATGCAACTTTTTTTTTAAAAAAACGTCATGAAGTAATTATGGCCAGGTGGTGGTGATAGCACACCTTAAATATTAATACTTGATAAGGCATTGCACTGGCTAGGTACTTGCATCAAGAAAGCAAGCAAGCAAGCAATCAAAGGCGTTACCAAGTGTCAATCGCGAAATAAATCATCGGGACCCGGGGTATCTGATTCTCTATGCTTTCAGCTGTCTAATAATCGCATTATTAGGTTATGTGTCGCAAACTTCGTTAGCGAAAACTGGATTGAACTAAGGTGAATTAATGCACATGTTGAATATTTATAATATTGAAATAAATCAGCCTTAATCTTGGCATGATTGGAGGAGCATTCGCCCGACTAGGTCATGAAAGTTTTTTACTGTTTGCACGACTGAACACAACGTGGATCAACGCTTTAAGATTACATTTCAACACGTTTCTCTCAAGACAAGACTCGAGACTCGAGAGGGGTGCGCATGGCCCCCACCTGGCAGCGGAAAACCTGTCGGTCCGGGGACTTCCACTTCCACGTCATCGGAGTATTCGGACCAGAAATCTTGACCAGGAGTCCAGGACAAGACTGCTGCCGGGCCGCGCGCGGAGACACGCGGATCTTCTGCGCCGTCCCGTTCGCAGGCCTCCCGGCAAACCGCTAATCTGACTTCTGATTGGACCGCCAGGGAAGGGCCCACAGCGACCCCTAAAGTACGCGACGGTCCGAAAGGCCAAAAAGCCGTGCGGCAAAGCCGCACGAGATCCAAGCCCGCATGGCCCCACGCGGCAGCGGCCCAATGATTGACCGCGCGACGCAAAACACGACGGACGCCGGCGCCTCGCCACCGACGGCGACCGACCACCCTCCGGCTGTCGCCGCAGTAAGTAGTACAGGACTTCGAACTTACTGTATTACTATGGGGTGTGGCCCCCGCATGCCAGGAGATCTTTGTATTACCTTGTGGAAGGCGATGCTGTCGTCGAAGGGGACGAAGAATCGTGCCCAGGTGGAGCGGAGCCACGTCAGCGTGTTGCGGCAGACCGGGAGCAGCACGAGCGCCATGTTGAGCTTGAGCGTCTCGGCGGCGCCCTTGGCCGTCGGAAGGCAGTACCCCATCACCCGGAACGCCGCCGACCGCCGGTACTGCACGAACCGCCACGCGAACAGCGACGCCATGGCCGCGAGCCACAGCGCCACCACCCACGCGCGCCGCCAGCTCTCCGCCGCCGCCACGCGCGCCCGCGCCTCCGCGCGCCGCGGGCTCCACCTCCGCCGCTGCAGCTGCCACTGCGACGACGGCTGCGGCTGCGGCTGCTGCTGCCCGCCTGCGCCCGCGCCCACGCCGGCGCCGGCGCTCAGGCCCTGGCTCCACTGCGCCGCGCTGCCGCTGCTCATCGGCCGGCTGTAGGTCATGTACGCGTCGCGCTGCAGGAGCAGCGCCTCCAGCTGCCACAGCTGCGTGCGGACGTGGCCAGGCCAGCCAGTCAACACTCAACAGAAGTACACTAGGTATTGACACGTAGCTGTGGTGTATTTGTACGCATGTATCCGTACCTCTATGTAGCCGAGATTCTCCGAATCGAGCTCCTCCATGATCAGGGACGCGTACTCCTCAGCCTGCTCCTTAAGCTTCGACAGCTTGTTCGCCGACGCGCTCAGAACGATCAGCTGGGAAAGAAAAATGAAAACTTTTAGTTAGGCTGATCACACGCTGGAGGTCAAGCCTAATTACCTACCCGCACAGTGAAACTCCATGCATAACTAACCCGATTGAAGTGATAGTTACAGCAATACAAGTAATACTGAGACATGTTACTTTCAATTACTCCTGGACTACTAACTCAGTAACTCAGTTGACTAATAATTAATCAAGTGGGCTTCGTTCAACTTGATTTGATTTACCTCTTGCACTTCTTCCCTCGTGATCCTACCGTCCACGTTGGTGTCCACCCTGAATTGAAATGGATTTGTTTCAGGCCAAGAACACAAGCAAAACAGAGGAAATCGGTGCAGGATTGTGAGGGGCTGTCGCGCACATGTCGAAGAAGATTTGGAGGCGCGCGTCGAAGCTCTGGTCGGAGATTTGCAGCCAGAACTCGTAGAGCTCGTCCTTGCTGATTCGCTCCAGGTTCTGCCGCCGCCGCCGCGCCAGCGCGTCGAAGATGCCCACGGCGAACTCCTTCGAGTCCACCATCCCTGCAACACCACCAATGCCGTCAGCCCGTCGTGGTGGTGGGCGCGCGCGTGTGATCGCGTCGCGTTCATGGCTAGTTCGGACGAACGAACGTGCGTACCGATGCAGTCGCCGAAGTCGTCGCGGGCGAGGAGGCCGTCGGTGGCGAGCGCGTTGAAGCGCTCCTCCACGGCGCGCCAGAGCGCGGCGCTGCCGTCGGCGTCGGTGGTGGTGCGGCTGATGAACCGGAGGCCCTTGAGCGCGCGCCGGGCCCCGGACCGCGACCGGTTCAGGAGGCGCGCCTGGACGCGCCGCCGCTCGCGGGCCGCCAGCGCCGCCTCCCGCACCACCTGCTGGTCCGAGGACGCCGCGGCGGCCGCGGCCTCGGGCGGGGGAGGGGGACGGCGCAGCGACGGCGACGGCGACCGCAGCCACGCGAACTTCCTGCGGATCCGCGACGACGTCGACGAGCATCGGCTCAGGCTCCGCGGGCCGTCCGGCGTGTGCGGCGCTGGGCCGGGCAGCGACGTTGTGGGCGTCCCGTACAGCGCCGCGGTGGTGGGCGTGACGCTGCGCACCACCATGGACTCCTCGTCCAGCTCCAGCATCACCTCCACGAGGTCGCTCTGGTCCGCGAGGAACGCCGGCAGCATTCCCCCGTCCGCGGCGGACGTGGAGGCGGCGACGTACTCGTCGCTGTGCGCCGTGATGAAGGACTCATTGTCCGACACGTCGGTCTGGTCGTCGGCGAGGTAGTCCGCGATGCGCCGGCGCCAGGTCCGCCGCCCGCTCCCTGACGACGACCCCCGCGACGGCGCCCACATGGCCGTCCCTCCCCTAGGCTTCTTGGCACCGCTGCTGCCCTCGCGGCGTGTGCATATCCCCGCGGCCTGGAAGGCTGGAACAGGAGCGCCGCTCTGCTTGTACTTGGCCTCACCCTGCTCACTGCTCAGGTGATCAGCTTGCTTGTCGCGAGCCTGCCGAGCTGAGCAGCTGAGGGCGGGCCGAGCGGCAGGCAGGGCGATGTATATGCTCGGCCGGGCGTTCGGCACCACTACCCGGTGGTTGGGATTCGGTGCGCCGAGTCGCGGACGCTTTCAAGAGGACCATATGAAAGTAGGCAAACGGTGGGTGTCGTGTGACACGGGCTTGTTAGTGCAGCCACTGACTGGAAGGTTCTCTCGCCTGCACGAATTTTAACTATTTTTCATTCAGTAAATTTTTGCGTATTCGCGCCAAATTCAGGAGACGAGATCGCATTAGGGCTACCGAACTGGATACCGACTTTGTTTATATGTGTTATTATCTGTTCCTTGTTTTTATTAACAACTGAATTTGCAGTAATGAATTACAGGAGCCGGTGAGGTTAACGAACACTGAAATCGACCCGGGCAAGTTGGAGGATAATGATTAGACCAATCTGTGCACTCTGTTTGTGTTAGCCCTGGGCAGGCATTTGACATTTTACAAACAAAAATTAGTCCATGTTCATAGAAGACTACAGATACTGCCATTTTCTGCTTACAAATACTGCCATTTTGTTCTCTGGAAAAAAGAATAGTGCCATTTTAGGGTTGCTACAGCTTACAGATACTGCCATTTCTGCTTGCTCCACAGAATTTAGAGAAGACTCAGGTCTGAAAACGGGTAGTGCTTGGGAAGAACGATGAGCGGCTGGATCCTTTGAATTCTGGGCAAGTGTTGTCTGCCTGTCTGCTGGATGATACTGTCGCGCCAAGATGCTCAGCAGCCACCAACCAGTGCTGCTTTTGCTTGCTAGGGCTCTGAATCCAGCAGCTTGCTACACCGAGCAGCTTGGCTGCATCTGCACTGAAACTGCACGATGCGCCGACGCCTGTAGCCTTGCCTGCAGGAGCGGCTGGAATGGGTTTCTGCTCCCAGCTCGGCATCAACTTGTGATTGTGTGATTGTGTGAACAGGGAGGTGGTGCAGTGATCAAGGACCAGTTTCGGCTGATCCAGACCCATCAACGTGTGATTGTGTGGGAGGTGAAACGGGCAACGTCGTTGCTCTGCTAATGGTTCGCCTTTTTCACCCACCATGATTTCGCCTTTGCATTGCATGCATTAGGCTGGGGCTGACAGCGCCCAGCGTCTCTGTTATGAAAGGCACGCCTTAACGGACCGACTGATGCTATCGAGTGACGAGCTAGGTAGCAAAGGCAGCGTGAGGAGCACGGCTGCCATGGCTGATAACTCTCTCCTCGATCTCGACCTGTGCCTGTCTGCCATTAGCGTTTTTTTTTCTTTGGTACCTGAAGAAACCACGAGGCTTTTCATCCATCTTGAAGGATGATAGCTTGGCCATTAGCATTTGCCGCGTGTTCAGAGGCTTCAGATGCTTGCCAACCTCATGCACAATCGATTAGTTGGGTCACACGAATCCTCTATCCATAGTAGCCAGTAGGGGTAGCGTTGTCGCATGACTCCTGTAGTAGAGAGAAAATACGCATGACTTGATAATGGCAGCACCATTTTACCGAAGTTTTTTTCCCTCATAAATAGGAAATTGTAGTGGTGCTCCTACACAACTTTTTCTTTGTTCAAGAGGAAGAGGAGCTTAACTAATTTGCATATATAGAGTATAGTAGGCTCATTAATTCGGATTGTACATGAACTTTGCATGTGAACCTGAATTTAAAGCCCTAATCTATCTTGCTTTTTTCATGGCATGACAATCGTCATTCACGTGGCAATACAACACTGGCCTTCTTTAGTTGTTGCAACATGTTTATCTACCTCATGAGGACCAAACTAAACATATTGCCGCGGTACGGTGGAGAGCTTTCTAATCTTTGGAACGGCATGACCCAAGAATTTTCTAGAGGAAACCCCTTCATTTATCGAGTTATTCGCGAAGATCAAGGATGCAGTGAGATGCCAATGTATGAGAGAGAGAGAAAAAATGTATTAATGAGAAATTGTAAAAAAATCATAACATGCATCTAACCATCGATTTTGTGGAGTTGATAGTAATAGCCATGGGACCTAATTTGCTTCTAATAATATCCACATATGCCATTATGAGAAATAACATGAAGTAACCTCTAAATATACATATAAAGTATCCACCTCTGTTATTATAAATGATAACCTAAAGTAACAACCCCTGAATTTGTATCTAACTTACTCACATCAGCCATTATGGGAAATAGAGAAATGTATGTATTCACGCTTCTAAATACCCTTTTATGTTATTTTTTATACATAATAAACTAACTCAAAGCAAACAAACATGATGTGTGCCACTAGGGATGAAAACGGTAAAAAACGATACTATAATATGGAAACAAAAGTGTTCGGTATAGGAGTTTTCAGTTTTTATCTAAATAACTAATGAAAAAGCAGTAAAAAAAAGTTTGTGCTAAATTTGCAAAATGACAACTTTCATGTTTTTGAAAAAAAGATTAAAAATGGTAGCATAATTTGGAAAATAGTATCGACCGGTATGGGACTTTCCCGTATGGTTTCACCCGTAGTTGCCACTGTATAAACCACGAGCAATGATCATTACCAATTTTCATGGTTTAGCAATCACGAAAGATGTTTCCTTCATCAGTCACATGCCTATAGTAATGTCAATCCATTTTAGATTGCATTGTATTAACACTCCATGACACAAGAGCTATAGAAGTGGCCACTTGAATTTTTTTTAAATGTAACTAAAAATTGTAAAATATATCTACATTGATAGTTTAATATCATGTATTGTTTTTTTTTAAAAACGGAGTTATATGGAAAAAAAATCATTTATAGGGTACATTCAACATCTGGAGCACTCCCATTCAAGTGATGGTAAGGACTAGTACGTGATCTCTTGCGCGTATATATCCATATATGGATATGGACATGCATATCCAAAGTACGCAGATTCCGTGCATGAGCCAGCTACCATGTTACAAACGGACAGTTCTAGTTTCTTTGCACAGGACAGTGAGCTCAGTTGTATAGGACACCAGAGCTACATAACTAAGTGAGACTTTTTGGGATCCAGCATGGCATTATTTAGAGATTCGAGAGACCTGTTTTTTGAGGAAAAAGTGTGTATGATACCAGGAGCTTTAATTTCTTGATAGAGATATTTGCTTAATCCTGCTGGCCATGATTTACACAATAGCAAGTGCTTTTAGCAATTTATTTATGTGTAGGTGTTTGATAGGAGGCACAATCACGGTTTTGTGAGTGTGGCGTGCGTCCATGGTGATCGATCTATGTACTTGTGCATCGTCGTCCTTGTAATAATATAAACAAAAACAAACAAGGCTCATATATATACTACCTCATGTCCATAAAAAGTGACATTTTAATTTTATCCCAAATCAAACTATGTTCTTTTTAGATAAAATAGGAATATAAAAATGTTTCGGACACCAATATCTATGAATGAATGAGTATAGTCACTCACACAAATAGATTTAAACCAAACACATCACCAAAAGATGACGTTACAAACGGCTTACAACGTAAATTAAAGTCAAACTACGTTAAGCTTGATAAATTTTATAGAAAAAGAGTATCAACATTTATGACATCAACTAGGTATAATTTAAATATATATTAAATGATGAGTCGAATAATACTTGTTTGATTAAATACCATTATTCTTAAATAAATTTGGTCAAACTAGAGATACTTTGACGAAGCTAAAATGTCATTGTGCATGGCAGGGATAGCATCTTATTAGTTTTTAATGTATACTCCCTTCGTCCTAAGAAGAATGTTTTCTAGGACTCATGTGTTCTCCTAAAAAGAATGCAATTATAGCTTTATGAGTAGGTGCATTATCGTAGAAAAATATTCCCTATATATAGGTGTATGATACAATAACTATAGAGTTTATACATGCAATCATTTGTTTTTGCTCTGTCAACATACGTGGAGAATAAAAAGAGTAGAGGTACATGTGTCTTCTTTGTTGTGGGCTAATTTTTCCTCGATATATGAGAATTTTATTCTTTTTATTTAGGAGGAAGGGGATATATGTAAGGCAAAGCATGCATGACAAGCAAGCATGATTTTTATTTTCCAAAAATACAACCCCTTTGTTTAATTCCAAAGATAATATATTTACTCGGGGACATGTCTTTCATATAGCATCGCATTATTAGTTAACCTACTACTCATTTATCTATCATCATACACATCTTAGGCATATATATACTTCTCCATATCCCAAAATAAATCGAATTTTAGACTTGTCCTAAGTTAAATTAATTTAAGTTTAACTAAATTTACAGAAAATAGAACTAATATTTATGACATTAAAGTAATACCATAAGATACTCATGAAATATATTTCATAATATACTTATTTAGTGTCGGTGCAGAAAGTGAGCAACAAGTAAATATTTGTAGTTTTACCGTACGTTATGATCGGAGGTGGCCTAGCACTCAATGACACAGGGTTTATACTGGTTCAGGCAACGTGTCCTACGTCCAGTTTGAGTCGGTCGGTGACTTTATTTCTGAGCCCAGGTGCTCGAAGTTTGCAGCGGGGTTACAAACGAGAAGGAGAAAGATGGGGGTACAAGAGGTCCGGCCGGGCTCCGGTCGGAAGGGCCAAGAGTGACAGGAGCTCCGCTATGAGCTAAGTGTTCAAGCGTGTGCTTGTGGTTCGAACCTGACGGTCCTGTGGTTGTGTGCTAGTGAACTTGGTCGTTCTAATGTATCTGGAATGACTTGACTGAATCTGGATTAACTTGGATGTTGGGAGAGAGCGCATCCCCTTTTATAGATGAAGGGGGTGGCCTTACAAGTGAGAGGGAGAGAGTACGTATGCTTCTATGCCTTATTGTCCACGCCGG